AGCAGAGAGAGAGAGAGACTCTATTCATTCATTTACAATTACATTTACTGACTTTTTCTTTACTTCTCCTTCAAAACCATACATTTGATTCATTGTTATTGACTCATGATTGCCTAGAAAGATTAAATAGTCTACATGTACCAAACAAAAAGTAGCAAGATAGAAAATATAACACTTAACATCTCAAATACCAAATTGATATTCATATGTTTACACATTATGTACACATATGGTTTATATACAGTATATTTCAAACTTCTTACCACGGGACATGTAAAAGTGATTAGGATATAAAACCTTAAAACCAAAGAGAGTTAAAATAACCTCCACAGAGAAGGATCCACGATCAACAAAATCTCCATTAAAAAGCTAAAAATACAATCACACACACACACACACACACACACACAAAGAGTTAAGGTAATAATGTAATATTATGTACATGTACAATACTTGGAAATTCTATAATACTACATCACTACATTATTTATTATTATTATTATTACGATACATAAGGATTCTCCATTGAAGGTATGCCACTGAGTTCAAAAAAATTATAAAGATCATAATACTATCCATGTATGTCACCACAAATTGTAAACTTACTTTTATTTTATAAGAAGCAGAAGCACAATAAGTGTGCAACAGTGGCAGATCTAAAGGGGCCAGGGGGGGGGGCAATGCCCTCTAAAAATTTTTATGGAGTATAGTAAACTTAGTTTTACCTATATAAACTGTGAACAGCTGCAGCACTTGACCATGTAAACAATCTTTAAACTACAAAGGAGCTCATTTTAGCAGACTTAAGGTGGATTTACGATATGATGCCAGGCCAATGTACTGTCAACTTTTAATCAAAAGCATGGGCAAACTTGACCTTTTCACGCATGCTTTACGTTAGAGTTTGACTCCTGCGTCAACGTAATGTCAGGACTAACGTAATATTGTAAATCCGCCTCGAGTCTTCATAATTTTGACTTTCTTAAAAGTTCTGTCATATTCTGCCATAGATATTAGAGTAAATCTATGGAAAATTAGAGTAAATCTATGTCCTGCATAGGTTCTGCACATAGATATTAGAGTAAAATCTATAATTTTTAATTAATTTAATATACTATAATTTAATTAGTAATAATTAGAGTAGTACTCTAATATCTATTCTGCTATAGATAATAGAGTAAAGATAATAGAGTTCTGCATAGATAATGTTTGATCACACCCCCTAATTACTCCACCCATCTCATAATTGCCCCCAAAAATTAAATCCTAGATCCACCCCTGGTGTGTAACTTACGTCAGGTATTGTAACATCAACAAGAGAGGGACAACCTGAAAACATGTCCTTGGCCGAGGATTATTCTATAAGGATGAAAAGAAGGAACAGCTATACCATAGCCCTAAGTACTATAGGAAGGAGCATCACGGTGCAACAAAAAACCAAAATGGCAGCACACCTCGCAGACACTTCTTTGGATTAGTTTGAATGCATCCATGCAACTAACATGTATGTATATGTATCAGAAAAAATTATAAAAATAAAGAATTCTGTTTTAGTCATTTTTGGGCTAGCCTTTGGTTGTTGGCCCAATTTTTGAGCAACTTTAAAAATTCATAAAAAATCCAAATTTGATTGGATTTAATTCAAAGTTGATGCACAACATAGGAACATGTATGTATCAGGAAAAAAATTAAAAATAAAGAATTCTCTTCTAGCCATTTAGCTGACCTCTTTAATTGAATCTTTTTGGAGAGAGGGTCTTTTCATATTAGCCTAGAAATTCTGGTCTACAAAACAAAAATTGCAGAGCAGTAGAGCACACAGTAAAATTTTTTACAGCAAAAGGCGGGTCGCATCCGGCGGAATGTCAAAAAGAGGAGGAGTCTTGCTAGCGTCGATCGACAGAGATAAGCCTCATTATCGCGAAGGATGGATGAGAAAGATGGTGAGAGCAATGTTTATTTCAAAACTCTTTACTTTTCATTATTACAGAGGCACCGGCCTTACTGTTTCATATTAAGCTGTCAGGCTTACCAGTTAGCACTTCGACTGCCAATGTG